CGCGCGCGTCGTTATATCTCTCTCGGTTGGAGGGCTTGTGTCAAACTAGCATGTATACGTCGCAATAAGAGCTGCGTGGAGAAATTTTTTTTTTATCATTTTTTCCTTTTTTACTCGCAGCTGCCTGAATTTCTATGGCGGTATATTACATCGTGAAAGAGCCGTGTGGAAGCGCGACGCGGATTTTTACGAGTTTGCTCGAGCCTCGTTTTAACGCATACGTGGGAAAAGATTTCGGAGGATAGGCGAAAATTGCGTAGATCAAACGTTAGACGTGCCTTTTTTTTATTCCATGCTTGTGAGGAACAAAAAAGAGCTTTTGAAAAGTTTTACCTTCGTTTGTGAAGGCGAGGCGCAGAACGAGCATGTTACACATTTCTACGGCCGTATTTTCATTCGCCCGAACTTGGCATTACAGAATTACCGCGCTTTTCATAAAATGCCCTCGCAGAGGGCTGTTTCCTCTCGAATGTAAAGGTATATTTTGAAAAAGATCGGAAAAATTTGTGAAAATAAAAATGAAAAGTAAAATGTTAACTTCTGAAAACGGTTAGCGCCCGTTTTAAAATATGGTCTATTGGTGGTTTAACTTGGATACGATGATTCTCCCCTGTGTGACTCGAGAATGAGAAAGAGAGAGAGAGTGAGAGAATGAAAAAAGCGTTTATTATAAGGTTGAAAATTTAATTACCGCAAGAACTTATGTAAAAGGAAAAAATGTAGGGATGGATAATTATGATTAAATGAATTTTTAATTGCGTCACTGAATAAGAAAGACCAAGTAGGTAGAAAAGGGCATAAAATAAAGTGAGCGATAAGGTAAGAGAGAATAGTAGCCTTTGGAGGGCTGCTGCGCGCGCGGAGGGAATAATATGGAAATGCTCGAAAAGCCAATAGCCGCAAGGTGAAAGAGAAAAAAACTAACGAGTTCCATGGTCATGATCGTGTTGTCGCGCCGGAGTATACGAAATAATGAGAACTGCTTGGCCGTGTCTTTTAAAAGCACGCGTGTAAGAGCTCGAAAATGGCCTGCGTAACGCCTCGTCAGGTGTCGCTTCTGTACACGAGTACCTACATGCCAAAGAGGCGAGAGAGAGACTTATTGGAAAACGCTTGGTGCGCTCGCAAGCTCGTGCAGCCTGTTAACGGCCAGAGCTCAGATAGATATCCCTGGCTGCAGCTCAAACGTGGCTGCGAAATCACACCCCGCCACGGAAGGTACGTGGAATTTTTTCACGCACGCCCATATACCGGAGCGCATCGTAAAAGGAAAACAGCGCGCCCGGCTCGGGTCTGCTATCGTCGTAAAAAAAAGAAGTAGCAGAAAAAACAGGCTACGTAACGCGAATAAGAGCGCGTGCTGCAGGGCGCCTTGCTAGCGGGGAATTGCTTATGGCGTAGTAGGTATAGAGGCGCGAATAAACGAGCCAAGCGTTATAGGTAGTTCTCGCTCATTCGCCGAGGCAGTCCCTCCGCAATTGGCCACGAGCAATCAATTTATAACTATATCGCGCGATCGTAAAGCACGTGTAATTTCATTAATTTGCATCCTTCGCGGAGCTTTAAATCACACGCGGATCGCAAATCTATTACGCAACTCGGTGGCCATATCCGTGGCAATCGAGTCCTGCGCGTTGCGGCTTATTATTACATTGGCCGCTCGAGTCTTTGCCGGCTAAACGTTGCTAGCGGCCGTTATGTTTGCGGTCGTTACGAGCCGCCGCCTACGCGCTCAGCTATCACGCCGCGCACTGCATTAATAACTCGGGGGGCACTTAGTTTTCATTTAGGTGACCCACAACGTGCTTCGCACGATTTCTTCATAAAAAGAGAGAAAAAGTGGCGCTGCTGGTGTGGTTCGAAGCTCTCCCCGGGCCCGAGCGAAAGAAAAATCACGCGAACGCGAGCTAGCGAGAGCCTGGCCGTCTCCACTCTGCAGCCCCGCAAGCCGCCAGCCGGAGCGCTTTATTAAGGGCGAAAAAAGAGTCGCGGGGGCCTGTGTATGTAGATGCAGCGGCGCTGTACAGGATGGATGATATTGCAATTCTAGGCGAGTTAACTGCTGCTGCTGCCTCTTGCCGAGCTACCTTCGCTCAGCCGCCAGCCGCCTCGATCCTCTCGACTGGCTTACTACTATTACAACTTGGAATTTCCAATCTAATCCCGGCTGAATATATTCCGAGAGCTAGCTGCGCGCAGGGCGGCGATATATTAAACGCTGCAGTACGTACGTGTGCGCTACGCGAGTGTTCTCCAAGCTGCGCCGAGTGTACGTCTGTGTGTGTGTCTGTGTGTGTGTCGGGGCTCGAGCAGACGAGAGCGACTGCTCGCGAGGCAAATCGACGCATTAAACACGGATGGCTTGGCTCAGCGTTAACCTTTCGGTCTTGCTGCGCGAGACGCGTGTCCGTATATAAGCCAGCTGGAAAATGCCGATAAGCCCGGGGAGCTTTTCAATTTTTAACTCTCGAGTCGCGTAGCGCCACGCGTACGTACTCATCTCTCTAAATGATCGGACCGTAGTCGTGGCGCATGCGACTCCTTCTTACATCTCTCGGGCGCACTGCCATGCGAATGAAAAAGTGCCGCTGCACGCCGCCACGCACTACGCGCTATATATACTTACGACGACTTTATATTCAGCATTAATCTGCGAAATTGCACTTTTTTTATCTTTGCTAAGGCACGAAGCGACGTCGGCAGCTGCAACGGCGACGACGACTGAACTTCATTCCAAAGCATTAATTAAAAATAACGAAGCTCGTTCACGCTCGTGGCTATACGAGCTGCTTTTCATCATCATCATCATCATCGTCGTCGTCGTCGTCGTCGTCGTCGTTGCAAGCTTGGATAAAGGTGGCCTATGAGTATTACTGGTGGACGCGCGCGATGGATAATAAAAACATTCGTTATAATTTCGCCCACGCGTGAAAAGAAAAAAATGTGTGTCATCGGTGCGTGCGTAATATACACTCGTCGTTTTTCACGCATCAAGTAGAGCCGCGCGAACTCACGCACGTTGCACGTACATATATATACGAGAGCTGATATGCGGCTCGGCGTGTAATGTTAAAAGCTCCGTCCCCGCTATGTGTCATCGACTAATCCGGGTCAGCAGGTTGTGACATTAATTTCGGCGCGCGAACGACCCGCCTCGCGGCTCAGACTCCCCTGCACACAGCCACCCTCGCTCGCTCGCTCGCGCACTTGCCGCGAGGTTAAAGCTTTAATATTAATAGTCGCTTTTCTCGCGCTCGCGTACTCTTCTTCCTCCTCCTCCTCCTACTCCTCGCGCGTTCCGAGTCATCCGTGAATTTATAACCCGGCGCCGCGCTACCGAGCCGTGTAAATATAGAAAGCCGCTCGCGCTGCGCCGATGCACGTGCAGTTTTGTACTCGCGCGAGAGATACATTTTATACTTATGCATCGTTAACGAGCTCGAGAAGAGGAAAAAAAAAGTTCTCGAGCTTCGCTAAAGACAATTGAATATCGTTCGACGATTAACGACTTTCTCAAGATTTGCTTTGGCTCGTATAAATGAAACCCGATATAGTCGCGATAGCGTATCAAAATTATTTCGCACGAGGTTTACTTAGTTGATTTGCTTTTTGTGGTATGAATTTCGATTAATCTTGCGGATCTCCGTGCTTCGTTTATCCGACGATTTTTTTTTTCTTTCAACAAAACCAGCCAGACTTTTTGCACTTTCATTTCCTAATGAGTTTCTCATTTCGAGGCGCATCCTTCGGTTACCAAATGTTCAAGCTTCGAGAAAGAGCACGCACACATCTTGAATTTCCTCGCTGACGCTATTGTCACTTGCGTGGCATTTACACGCGCAAAAAAAAGAACGTATAAAAAAAAGTACATACTCTCGTTACGGCAAAAGCTCGTGCGGAATTAAAAAGTTGTCGCGGCAATCTAAGCCCGGCTAGCGCACGATGAGTTTAATTAACTCCGAGAAAAGGATTTTATTTTATTTTTTCGAAGCAAAGAGAGGCCGAGACGACGTTTCGAGTCAGTGTCTCTACCGAGTAATCGCGAGCGAGTCAGAACTGAAAATGCAATAGGATCTGTCAATACGAAAAAGACATTCATATTGCAGGAATCTTTAGAACTGCATCCTGAATCCAGCTTGGCGCGCACTTAATACTTCATTGCTTACGTAACATGCCAGAGCTCGGTACAAAAGAGAGAAAGTCACATAGAGGATGAAAATTAACAGCCTGTGATGAGTTTCGTTGCTGCTGCTGCGTTTCGACGTCTACGGAGCTCGAATTTTGCAGCCCGAGCCGCTAATGGATCTTCCTATTGTGCACTTTCTCTCTGCGCAAGAGGTAAAATATCGAACGAGTTTGTCGACGTACGATGTGTAATGCACCGGCAAGCGGGACTTTTCACCTCTCGGATGTATATCGCGTGTCTATTGTTCGTCGTTTAAAATTTCATATTCGCTCGAATCGCGCGAGACAGAGGCAGGGAATAAAAAAAAAGGCTGAAAAATCTATATAAATGTCTGAGTGAGATGATAAGGACACTCGAACGGAGACAATAGTAATCGATACTGTACTAGAGGGAGAGAGATGTGTACCGGCAGTGATCTCGTTGCTGTGGCTGTGTACCGCTGGATGTACTTCACTCGAACTAATTGTCTGCAGTGCACATTCAGAGGTAAGACGATAACCCAGAATGTAACGTCCCTCGGTACTGACTTTCTTATACGTACGTATACTACTTTTCTGCGGCCACTCGAGCTCTAGAACGTGCACTCGCGGGAGATTGTTCCTGTATTTTTATTCCACAAAAACACGTGATACATCTCTCGAGACCGCAAGATTGATGGATAATTTTATATATCGACGCTTACTTCCGTATCTTCTTTTTCGCTGCGCGGGCTGCGCCATGTAATCGATGAGTTTTTTGCTTCCACAGCCGAGCTTATATTTGAGCGAGTTCATATATAGTTTGATGGGAAAGAGTAAAAAAAAAAGGTACTCACCTTATCGAAACTAGTATCATGGCAAATATGAGATATTTGCCTAGTAAGGGCACCACCAGCGACGTCGGCGGTATAATTTCAACAACTAGTAGGAAGAACACGTGAAGACTGATAAGAATCGAGATGGAGAGCGTCACCTGTAAATGAGGTGAAAAAAAATCAGTTATTCGAATTCTTGCATTGGCTAGAGTACAATATGTTTACGCGTGTAGAATGTCTCATATACATGCGGGGATCGATGAAAGTCTCAGTCACGCGTAATGTATTATCGTAAGGGCCGACGTATCAATCAGGATCAGCCGTCAGCAGTTTCCTCTCGCTCTCTCTCTCTTTCTCCCTTTACTTCGACATCCTTTCGGTATGTACAGTTGCTGGTTCTGCCACGTGTGTGTATGCGCTACTCTTGAGAATTATGCATACACGTAGGGAGCGAGCGAGAGTTTAGTACAGTTGTGCGGTCCGCGCGTGTGCCCAACGCACGAATATATCGTCGCCCCAGCGCAGGAAGGTATCTATTTCCAAGCTGTAGCAAGAAGGATACTTACTCGCGCGCAGAGGCAAAAAGGTATCTAATTCGAGCGCAGCGGCAAAAAGGTATCTAATTCGAGCGAGAAGCAAAAAAGTAGCTTATTCAAACGAAGTGGCAAGAAAGTTTTGACGCGCTGAATTTAGGTTGGCAACGCAGCCGTAAATGATAAAATTTTGTTTTGTATTAGAGCAAAAAAGAGAAAAAAACAATTGAGCTAGAGTAATGATTTTCATCCATTTCCAATGCGAGCAAACAAATCAATCTCGCCGCTATTTCGACTCAATATGCCTCTTATGGAGAACTTTGTATGTTCTGAGAGGAAAGTAGAAGTTATCGGCTTTACATAACTTTGAATTAAATGTTGAATGTTGAATTTTGAAACAAAATGTTATCATTTACGTCTGCGTTGCCAACCTAAATTCAGCGCGTCAAAACTTTCTTGCCACTTCGTTTGAATAAGCTACTTTTTTGCTTCTCGCTCGAGTTAGATACCTTTTTGCCGCTGCGCTCGAGTTAGATACCTTTTTGCCTCTGCGCGCGAGTAAGTATCCTTCTTGCTACAGCTTGGAAATAGATACCTTCCTGCGCTGGGGTGACGATATATGCTCCACAACAGTTCGGGCCAATTAATACCGTTCAAATGTCAGGCGTCGCTTTGTATACACGCCTATGCATGCACGCGCGCGCGTTCTGTGTAGCGTAGACTGCGTGGCAGTGCAGCAGCTTGTCAAGCGCACTCGACACGACTTATATAAGGTCTCGGAGAAAAGCAAATTTAATCTGTAATTCGAGAAAATTGAAATCGCCACTTTGGCCGCCAGCTTCGGTATTTTCCGGAGCGCGAGAGAGAAAGAGATGCGGCGGAAAAAGTGGCACACGCCCTACCAATCGTCTTTTCATTTTCATGCAAGCCATACACCTAGCTATATGAAGCCACCATGTACTCACACGCTCGCGTCTATGCGAAGAGCTCAAAAGGAGAACTTTTGAAAGAGCCTGGAAATACGCTATATGTATGTATGCTAGGAGCCGGCAAGCGTGCACCGAAAAAATTCCTTGCGCGTATATTGCTTATCGATTTTGCTCCGTTTCAGCGAGCGCAAATACACACACACACACACGCACATACCTATACAGACGCGTCACCACGACATTAACGCGCCACCCATTATTGCATCAAAGACGTATGGGATTTTCTCCTTTTTATACGGATACTTTAACGCGATATTAATATGACTCGAGCGATGATTCGCGAGAAAAAATATACATCGGCTATTTTCACTTTTCAATAAATAATGACTCTGCGCGAACCTGTCTGTTTTTTTTTTTTTTTTTATATACGTATGTACAGTTGAAGTTTGCTCGCGCACTGAAGCAAAATTTGCTGAGATAAACCGCGCGACCGAAACTTCTCGATAGGGTTGCAAGAGCTAACTCGAGAGAAAGAAGGCGAAAAAGCTCTGCAGAGGAGAAAAGAAATTTCCCGTCCACGCACCTACATATAGAGATATCGGCACAAACCTCGGTGACTTGCGAGAAGTGCAAGACTTTTTTTCAGAGAGAAGCATTTTCCGAGCTTTAATACATATTTCGCTCTGCGGGGGCGCAGAGACTATAAGGAAAAGAAAAGTCTCAGACTTGATTTTTATCGGATGCGAAAGATGAGATATGTACACGCTGAGTGAAAGTTCCGATATTTAGGACGATGTTTTTACCTTTTTGTTTTTCGCATGAACGAAACTCGAGTAAAAAATGAGCTAAGGCATTCTCGCGATAAAATAATGAAAAACTACAAATAGTGCGAGTGAATTTTCGACTTTTTTTCTATTTTAAAAATATGTTCTGTTCGTCTATGCATAAATTTTACTCGAACGATAAGAAATTAATGCAGCTGTACAAGCCCTATTTTACTGCATTGAATTCTCAGTGGCTCTTTCAAGTTCTTTGTAATGAAAATCGCATCGTTTTTACTCGCGCAGAAGAGGAACGAGAGCTGCAAATAGCAGAAAGCGAAAAATAAACACTCGAAAGACATCGACATGTTATACGTTTGTAAGTTTCAAGCTCGCGCGCGCCACTGAAATCGTTCTTAATTATACACACTCCTTGGCTTGAACAGACAAATTAGTATCTTCTTGTGTACGTCTGCAGGCCTTTGAAATTCGAAATGTTTCTAGGATTATATATAGACCCCGGCATTGAGGTATTTTATTCGCAAAAGATCTCCTCGAATTTTCAGCCGCTTTCATATTCTGTACAAGTTTTTACATTAATACCAGCTCGAGCCAGTTCGTAAAGCTACAAAAAAATTGCATTAAGCATTCGAAATAATTAAATTTATTTTTTCTCCGCTACCCGGACGATTCTCGATTTCGCGCGACGCACTCGAAAGTTGGTAAAAGTTGGGATGCGAAGTGCGACGCAAAGTCCACGGCTCACGAGGGACGTGTAACATGCAGCGCACTGACTCGCAAATGATTCGAATGTTTAGAGCTCGAGCGCATCAGTCAAATGCGTATTTTGGTACGTTTCCAACGAGCTGTGCGCGTTGAAACAAAAATTCAATATAGCCGCGACAAAAGCGCCATTTCAAGGATGTTCCTCGGTGGCCCGTGCCAGCGCCGCGGTAAATTGCGAAACGGGTCGTAGATTAATTTTTGTCACATAAGTACTGCTTGCTGTTGTTGCTGTTGTTGTTGCGACACAGGATATTCCTCTATAGAGCCACGTAAGAAACCAGAAACTTGGATGCGCTGTGTAGGACTTTTTGCTCCTGCAGTGCCGCGTCGCAGCGCACACTGACTCGAACTACTGGCGCGCGCTAAAGGGCTTGTATGCGGCTACATTGCGGGCACTAATTAACGGCCGCCTGTTAAGTTGCGGACCTCGGGCACGGCGTGCGTCCCAGCGGTGGATTGGTTTCAGCTCGAGAAACGCTGGAGATGAAGAAAAAAACTATACTCCGATTCTTTCGCTCGTTCCCCCTCTTGTCTAGACGATATATACACGAAAAATAGCTCGTTCTTCGAGGACGTTCTAAGCGATATGGCGGTATTCAAACTCGGCCGTAAAAATTTTAATACACAAAAAAAGGAGAGACTTTGAATATAAATACAGGCAGGCGGGGGGAAAAAGAGGGAAAAGGGAAGAAGAGAGAAAGAGAGAAAGCTCTGAAAATAATGTGGCGTATGCGTTATCGTAAAAGGCTTTATCCCTCCTCCCGCTACAACGTATGTAGAACGTATACGTACCTTTTCTCCGCTATCGCTGGGTAGGTAAAAAGTAAGCACCGTGAGAAACGATATTCCCATGCATGGAATGATGATGTTGACCGTGTAGAAAAGTGTTTTCCGGCGCATCGTTATGTTAAACGTGATGTCCAGATAAGGCTCGTCGCAACACGTGTAAAACTTTTCGTTCCTGCGAGGAAGATGCATATAAATATCGATTAGTAGGCAATATCGATAATTCCTCCTCCTCCTCCTCCTCCTCCTAGTCTCTATACATGCAAATAATATACGTATAGGGTAAGTTCGAAATTGGTCAGACGAGCCCGCATACCAATCGCTCTTACGCCACGAGCTGCGGAGAGTAACGAATTCTGCGCGTTTCATTATTATAGAAATTGTTCGGGCGCGTTGCAGATATCTCGCGGAGGACGTTTTTCGTACGTCAGCCGAAGTATGTGTGCGTGCCAGACTCGTGTTACACCTACACATGCGTGGATAACAAACGACATTTAATTAAATTCAACCACGGCATATATTGACAATTCCGCATTTTCGAGAGCAATGTTTAGAAAAGATCGTCGACGAGCTGCACGTCCGTCTCTTTCGAACTGACCAGCGTTGCCGGTCCGATTTCGTAACTAGAACAGTACGAAGCTGTTAATAAATCAAACAGCTGCAGCAGCGTCGAGAATATAATTCGCTGTAAGCGTTCTCTTTCGGAAAATTCAGCGTAACCGCGCGCTACAGCTCGGACAAATTATCCTCGTGGCTTCCGTCGTTACGAGAGCTCGACCAACCCAAGCTTCTTTGTTTCCCTTATACTGTGTGTACATTTGCAGTTCCATTATTTTATTAAGCGCGCTCGCGGCTCGAGCTTACCTAACTGCTGGAACTTCGAGTATGTCCCACTCGACGGACATGTAGAACTCGGACAGATCGACGCCAACGTCGACGATGTTGCTGCCCGTTTTTTCGTCCATGTGCCTCAAATCCACCTGCGTGGCCGTGTGTTGAAAGCATAGGAAATTTGCGCACAATTAGTAAACTTCGAACGCGAGTCGATATGCGCGCATTCGTATTATATGCAAGTAAAAAAAGTAACGCAAAAAAATAGGGTTTTAATGATGTTTGTTAATGTTGATGTTGTTTGTGCTTTCGCGTACGTGCCAAATAATTACAATGGATATACGCGGTAGCATCGATGTAAATCATTTCCGAGTCGCTGCAGAGGGGCCGTTCGTCATAGCGATGTTTTGCAAGCGATCAGCCGGTAGTAATGGCTTTTCTCGATCTCTCGCGCACTATTGGAATAATAATAAATAAGCGAAAACGAACGGCACCTATGCCGACCAACAGAAGGGATTCTCTCTTTTTTCAATGAATTTTCGCGAATAAATCCTACGATGTTCGAATGTATTTTTAAATCACAACATCGTAACGTTATCCCACCTTTTTTCGCTTACTTTCGGAATTTTTTTCCAAACTCGAAAATCTCGAAAAATTTACGTCTCGTCATTAATTTTTTGCGAGAAAAGAAGCGTCGAAAAAATGAAAGATCGTGCGTTTATTACAACAATATCGAGCGCAATGCATGTAATATTTATTCAATTAATTTGTAACAAAAGGACAATAAAAAATGTGTCATTAATTTTCGATCACACCATCGTGCCTATTCTACCGCATACATGATGTATATAAAAAAATTACGTGCCTTTGTTGCTCTTGTCACGAAAAGCTCCGCAGCAGCTACAGGATATTTAATATCAAAGCCCATTAATAAAGTTCAATGGGACCGAGTACGCGAGTGTCGATGACACTTCAAAGTGTCATCTTGGCTTTGCTCGTTTTTCTTTGTCCTTTTTAAAATGTCTTCATCGAAAAAAGGCATGAAGGTCAATCTGTTGTTTTTTTGCCTTCTCGATAGGCAAGTCTGTCAAGTTTAATCGATACTGCGGCAGCTTTTCGCTATCGACACGGTCGCAAAAACCTCGGAGAAAACGCAAGTGTCGTCGACAAAATCACAATTTCGTCATGCAATTGGAAACCGTCAACGACACGACGGATTTCGTCCTGCAGTGTGCGACGTGCGTGTGCTAGTGCTTGTGCTATCTAAAACTTAATAACTAAAGCTCCAACGCTAAAAGAGACAAGGAAGGAAAATTGCCAGGCGTCGCGGAATGTGAGAAGGTATTGATATACAAGTAGTGTGAATAAAATCTTGAAATTAACAACATCCATCCACAATTAGCCTCCTCTACAAATTATACAAACTACAGGGTGATAAATATCAAATTGTGACGTGATGTAATGAATAATTTAGGGTTGCCATTGCATTACAAAAAATAGCGTCCATGAGTGCATAATTCAGCTGATGTATGTTAAGGAATAGGAAGTGAAACACATGTTTTATAAGTTTGATTTATAGGGGGTTGGTGAGGAAACAGAGAAAGAGAGAAAGAGAGAGAGAACACAAACGTAGGGTGGCGAAAGTATTAGTTGTAATCATTCGTATTAGATAATAACGAGTAAGGTGTTATTTTTCCTTCGGGGATATATAGGGATGTTCATTTCTGCAGTAATCATATAAAATCGTAGCGATGAGTATAAAAAAATGTCCTTTGGATTCGCTGAAAACTGTCACCTCATCATTGGCTAGACAAAATATGTGCCCATTGCTATCCGTTCATTGACGTCACGCGTTTTTAATTTTATATTTTTTCCCTTCTCTATGTGATAGTATATCACTGGTCTGGATAAAAATATAACTTGGTAAATAATCGTCTCTTCGTATTTAGATATGGATGTTTTTTGTCGTTAACTTTTTATTGCCGAGATATGAAAAAATAATTTTTGGTATGTCACATCAAGTTATATAGCTTTCGTGCTGTAAGATATTTATTCTAGGTTATTTTATCTTTATGATATAAGTGGTGCTCGTTATTTTATGTATAATATAAATAAATAGCAGTGCTTTTTTCAATGTTATTACACATCATGTTTCATATTATGTGAAATACCACACTAAAATTTGCATAGTAGTGAGATTGCTAGGTGAACATAATGACTACTTTACGACTATGCAATGTCTAATTTTTTTCATAAACGTTTTGTACAATATGTATATTTTGCATAATCTCTATAAAAATACAATTATCGTCATTTTTTCATTTAAAATTTGATATTAATCTTTGAGTTTGATGCGATTATATTGAAAAACTTTGATAAATAGAATAATTTCGAAGCGTCGACGTCGCTGCTCGATGCGTGTTGAACTCAATTATCGTCGGGTAGATAGACTCTTTATTTGTGTGATAACTATTTTTTCAGAAACATGGTAATTGGCTTCGCGAATCCTACTTGATAATTATCATTATTTAACTTAATTTAAAAATTGTTATTATTATACTTTTTTTGTTTTGTTTTTAATGTTAGTTATCATTCGATTACGATAAAAGCATTTTAATGTATTTAATTTTAAAAATTTATAGTATTTTGTTAGATTATGTTTTTTTATGATTTTGAGCCTCTCTGAAGTCATAGCAATTTAATATGTTTCGCATCAATTGAGAGTGAAAACTCTCGATTCTTTCCACGCAATGGCAACGTAAATTTGAGAGAGAAAAAAGAAAAACGGAAAAGTAAGTTGAAAGGATTAAGTGTGAGGCTGTATTGAAGAAAGTTCATCGTCCCGGAGGGGGAGGGGGGGGAGAGGGAAGGTAGAAGTGGGTGTGTGTGCGGCGGTCGATCGATTCACGAGAAGAGCCGAACGACTACGAGTCGACTTAAAAGTTACATGTACACGTGCGAAAGTGTACATGTCTGTATACCTTATATATATATTCACGGCTATTAGAGAAATCGGATTAAAGCCAGAAAGTACGACAACGATTCTTCGTTGACGTATATATATATATAGTATACACGTGGATTTTTTACTCCACCTTGATTTATACAGATAGATCCTGGCATTTGTCGTGTTTGTACCGATTGGTTCGCCCTACTGCAAAGGCCAAAATGATCAAAGTATCTCGCAGCCGTGTCTCATCGTCTCGCAGCTAAGAGTTTTACGGATTTATCTTACTTTTTCTTTTTCGGCGAGACACGCACCTAAATTCGTGTATAAAACATTCGAAATAAATCGCTTGGAAGCTCGCGCGAAGTCTTATCCGTCAAAATGCAATCTCGAATCGTCATCAGTTTTGATGCGCTGCTGTTGCAATGGCTCCTTTCATAATAAACACAAGTCATACCATTTTTTTCCTCTCTCGCTCTCTCTTCCATCCACGACAATTTTTTTCTCCCCCTTCCTCTTATTTTTTTCTAGCAACGCCCGACCCTCTTATTTCGCCCGATGTGAGTAGTCGCGCGCGCTCACTCTTTCTCTGCGCCTGGGAAGAAAATTGTGTCGGCTGGACTATATACAATTCGCTTTCCGTGCCGTTGGAAAAGTCACCGCGACACAAAAGGACGCGCGAGCTGTGACGGATGGTTTTTTATTTCACGCTTTTGTTAAAACCACGCGCATGCACGCTCGCAAGCACACACACATTTTGGACTCTGTTTCTTCGCGGCTGGAACTTTTTCGAGAAAAATGCACTGCCAGAGAGGGAGACGGAGAGAGAGAGAGAGAGAGAGAGAGGGAAAGTCAAGAATGAAAATTCACAAAATTCAATTATTTTTTTTTTGTCGTCACGCGAGCAAAAGTTTTCATTGCTGGCGAGAAAACAAATATACGCGCGCGCGCGGCAAGGACTGTAAGTAGAATATGAAACAACAATTTGGCATAATCAACAAGTCGTCGACGAGGCTAAGGGAGCAATTATTGCCACCGCCACTTTTTGCCGAATTCCCTGGATATTAATGTAGTCGAGCTCAAGCTGCAGCACATACGTACACATCTACTTTTATGCATCGTACGGAGGAGAGCGAGAGGGATTAAAGGGTGGGGTTTGCGCGCGAGACTGCAGAAACTGCAGAGGCCAGGCTAACGGGTAGTAGGGGCCTTGTGTAGGCGATAGGGAATGATTTATTGCTAACGTTCGGGCGCGGCCAGTAGGCGCTAAATTATGGCGAGAGACGGAAATCCGAGCTCGTGCTGGCTAGAAAATTATACTTTCTCGCTTCCGGTTACAACGGCTCTCTCCTGCGCTCTCTCTCCCCCCTTATAACTGCAATTCTACTCTCTTTCTATAGATCTGCGGAGCACTAAGTTTCGATATCGTTTTTTTTTCGTTACTTTTCTATTCGTTTTTCAATGTATAAAACTTTGCGCAAATTTTTTATTTTTCCGATTCGCAATACGGCTCTTGGGTGCGATGATACAATCAGCCTAACGAATACGGACTTTTATTTTTCCAGAGGCAGTGGCTGCAATAGCAGTAGTACATGGCTACGCGATGGAAAATCACGTCGGAAATAATCTTGACTCGCCTCGGCGAGGTGAAATCGAACTCGAGGCTCTAGTAACAAGATTTACCGTAAATAATTCAGCGTCAGTTTCATCTGACTGGGAAAGCGAGAAATGCAGCTAATTTTCACTGGCGCAGCGCGAGCCCTTGTATTGAGAATTCGAATGCCAGGGCTGCGAAGGATGAGAAGAAACGAGAGAGGAAAAGCAAAGGCTAAAGGAAATTAAGTGGACTTGTTAGATTTTAACGCAGAAATTGATTCGAGGCAGCGTTGATAAGTTTAGAAATCAATCCGTTCATTTATACCCGAGGGATTGCACTTGTCTGGCTGTGCACAGAACTATTAATTTTAAAAAGTGTCGTATGTTTTTTTCCTCACAGCTCGCAGTGAAAATATCACTGTTTAGTCGTACGTGACGCAGCCAGCCCAATTGTTATATATTTCTCAGCCAAGCGTACGTGCACTCGCGCGCACTACACGGAAATCAGTCGTAGCAAATCAAGCGAGTATCCACCAGAGAGAAAACCTCTCTCTCTCTCTCTTTCTCTCTCGCTCGCTCCTCTTGCCCTCCTCCCGTGCTCTCAAT